ATTGCGCGTTAATATTAAATGTAAGTTTTCTTAAAATTTGTTTTAGGTAGTTTGCTTATCTAATGATCAATAATATTGGGAAATAATTATTTTAATTAATAACTATATTCTCTTTCCTATCTTATTATAAATAAATTTTCTCATTAAATTACTAAAATCTGTATTGTAATACAGAATCACGCAAACGTTTTACGTGATGACTGCTTCTGTAAATTATTTTGTTACTCATATCAAAAGCAAGATGAGTAAAATAAATAAATAAATAAGTCGCGAGCACTTCCTCTCCACTCGTAACGAGATCAGCGCGATAGCCGCCGGCGCCGCAGTCCACTTCACTTCGCGCGCTCCGTCACTGGTTTACTCTTGTAGTTCTGCGCCGATTGACTGATTACAATAATTAATTGCGGCGAAACTATTCATCGCATCGAAACGTAGTATTAGACATTTCTTCTTAAATTTTTATTCTCTATCGAATGGTGCTGAGCAAATGCGACACTTTTTTAACACCCTGTATAAAATGAAAGATGTTTGTAATACGATAAAATGTTGTCATAAATTGCCAACGACAAATAATGAAATGTTTCATTTTATACAGAATGCGCATTTCATGTACAAAAAGGAAAGTATTGAGAAAAACATACGACAGTAAAACGATGGCGATGCATTCTATTTTATGTTTTATTTTATATTTTATTTTATTTTATATTTCACTATTTTATTTTACATTTTATTGTTTTGTAAAGTAGATATTTATGTGTTATGACACTAATGTATCCTTGGGTGTATCTATAATAAATATAGCATCGAATACATCTTGTCTTCTATTATATTTCTGAATCCTTGTTTGAATGTGTGTGCATTCGCGCGTCGTATTGATTGGTTCCGCCATTTTTCCTCACCCCATCAGAGACCCAATGAAAAGAGGTCTACAACTTTGCCGGACTCTCTATTTTAGGGACACTAGTTATACTGTGACTGGAGCGTGTGGGGGCACGTGACGCAACCAGACCTCAAGTTTCCGTTCTATCTTTTAATGCATTCACGATGAGTTAAAGTCGGCGAGATGATGTTCGTAGAACAATTCTAACGGAATAGTATAAAAACGCTTGTTGCATCTGCAGGACAGTTTTTCGGTATATTCTGATATATTCTGTGATAAATAGAATAGAACAATCTAGATACGAGAATGCTCGGCATACTCGTAGCTGGACGACTCGTGAGTATTAAACTCTTATTTTGTTATGTCACATTTGTTAATTGTCAACATCAGGTTTATTAGATCTATTTTGAAATATTATTTTACACTTTTTGTGTTTTATTAACTGACGTAAATTCCAGAGATATTATAAATGTAATGTTATATTTACAAGTAGTCTACAAATTGTCTTTAAAAATTACAAAGAATAGTTTTAGAATAATTGCGAATTATATTAATTTTATTGATACAATTTGTGCTCAATGATTAAACGTAAAAGATTCCAAAAGTATCAGTTAACTTAAAATTTGAGGTTAGCTGGAAGCTTAGCAAACTCTAACATAGCGTGTGGTATACATTTTCACTTATTTGCTGAATTAACAAAGACTATTTGACATATTACAATTAACTGGAGAAGATGCTATTTTTCGGTTCGATTGGATCTTGGTAGCGTAATAACAACATTTCTTGTGTAAATCTTCTATACTTCTTTCAACTCGGTAAACTGCATGTCAATTATGTGGATTTACTGTTCCAGCATAAAGCTATTTTATAGCCAACAAATAATCAGCGTTCAGTTTATTGAAAAGATATAGAAAATTTGCACCGAAATACAGGGTTAGGAAAGTTACTTAATAAAAGTAACACGTTACCGTTCTTTTTTCTGAAAAAAACTCGTTATATTGATTTTAAAAAAAGTAATTCGTTACTGTTACCGTTGCTAACGCAAAAAAACTAACGAATCGTTACTATTTTAGTTACTTTTTCTTGACATTACTACAATTAAATACAAGTTTCCGTGGTAAATGTATACAAGCAAACGCTGAAGAAGACAAAGTTATATCGAAACGTTTGTTACACTTCGTTATATATATCGTTAGATACGTTACTGTTTTAAATGTTAAGACTAATTAAAAACCTTTTAAAACCAACATTGCTCGTGAATCTAATTGGCGTGAATCTAAGTGAAAGTGAATCTAATACATTTTCTTGAACATTGACATTCATATCACACTCCCACTCACATCCATACATATATATATATATATATAATGTGCAAAATTTAACTAGCATCTTTGCAGTGTACATTAGGTAATGCCAATGCCAGCGGTAAATGTTATTTTTCAAGAAAATACATAATTGGTTCCAAAGTCATGTAACTTGATGAAAAGAAAATCATGGAAAAAGTAAAGCGGCGTTTTGTATGTAATTGAAAATGCAACAAAATATAATTCTTAGCCTTTTTGTTGTATTTTTCAAGAAAAGTATTGAGTTACCGAACATAAAAAATGCGCAGTTTTGAGGAACAAAATGTCTTTTAGGCACAAACTAAGAAATATAAAACTTATTGATAACACATTCAAGTTAAATTGTTTTTAATTTTTCTTCTACGGTAATTGAAAAATTGGTGAAAGCCGAGTTTTAGTAATTTGAAATTAGCTCAAATTTTGACATATGAGAAGTATTCTTTTTTTGTATGTATGTGTGTGTGTAAATATTTTTTGTCATTTTAGTTCAGATCATAAATAGTTCAGGCAGATATCTTTATTAATTAGATTCCAACGTTTCGACCATACAGGTTGTGGTCCTTTTCAAGGAATTAGATGTTAAATAATAAATCATCAAGGATACATCAAAAGAAACGGTCTACAATCCATCCTTGGGTGTCATTCGGAGAAAAGGCACGTCTATCCGACGTAACGACCAAAGTATATAGGACTGGTTAAATAATAAATAATCAAGGATACATCAAAAGAAACGGTCTACATTCCATCCTTGGGTGTCATTCGGAGACAAGTGTTCGAAGGCACATCTATCCGACGTAACGACCAAAGTAGGACTGTTAAATAATAAATCATCAAGGATACATCAAAAGAAACGGTCTACAATCCATCCTTGGGTGTCATTCGTTACGTCGGATAGACGTGCCTTCGAACATTATTCTCCGAATGACACCCAAGGATGGATTGTAGACCGTTTCCTTTGATGTATCCTTGATAATTTATTATTTAACATCTAATTCCTTGAAAAGGACCACAACCCGTATGGTCGAAACGTTGGAATCTAATTAATCTAATGGAATCTAATAGACATCTGCCAGCCTAACGTCGTTGAATAATTCTTTCTACTGTTAATAAACTACTGGCGACTTACACTCTTTCGTTGTTCATAAATAGTTCATTACAAAGTTATTATTATATATTCTTAAAAGAGTGAAAACAACATCAGGCCCATTTTTTTCGCATCCAATTTTGGTCACAAAGTAGGTACCAAACGAACGGTCTCGTCCAGATGATCGCAGATATGTCGGTTTCAGAGTTTACCTATTTAACGTTCCAGAGATATCAGGCTCCAAAAATTCCCAGGACGTAAGCGATAAAGCCGTCTGGACACACACCAACCATTTGGAATGGAATAGAACCTTTGGAACCCGTTATTTCTGGAACATTAAATAGATACACTCTTAGACTGACATATGTGTAATCAGCTTGACGAGACCTTTCGTTTGGTACCTGACCAAAATCGAATGCGAAAGAAATGAGGCTATTTGCCTTTGGACATTTGTTCTTACTCTTTATCTTTCATTAATTTTATTTTACTTTAGTTTTACTTAATGCTACATACACACATACACACATTTCATACAAATATAATTTTTATCTTTTAGGTCCAAACAGACTTTCAACAAGTTGGTGATAATCAGTTCTTAATTATTATACCTGATGCTGATAATATAAATCATATAGTGATATTTCTTACTGGCACTGTCTTCTTCCCAGATGGCATGGGAGGTGCAGGTACGACAGAGAACAATGAAGATTACTATATGAATTATAAGACTATCAAATTTTTGTCCATTGAATTTAATTATTTAAAAAATTATTGTTTACAGTATATTTCAGTTGGCCAGATCCAAACGCGCCACCCAACTGGCAATTCCTTGGATATATTTCCAATTCTAAACCATCAGCCATCTTCAAAATATCAAATCTAAAGAAAAATCACGAATTTGAAAACAGTAATTTAGGAATTTTTGGGATCGGTAAGATCTCGCATTTTGCACAGATCGGTGTGTCGGTTGAACCATTGGCGATAATTGAGCAGCAAGTAGCTACCGTTGCCGCAGCTACAACCAATTCTTTTATAGAATTTGTACAAAAAATGTTAACAAATTTTGTCAATTATGTAACCAGTTTCACGGTGACGCAGGCACAAATGACGCCAAATCCTACTGAGAATTTTGTGCCTCTATCTACATTACAGGGCTGGTACGAAACCTTTGAGAGACGATTACAGCATGATCCAAATTTCTGGAAATCATGATTATAATTGTAATTACATATAGTATAAAGTTTTGTATTTTCTGTTGACATACATATAAAAATTTCACAAGAATGCCCAAATATTATTTCAATGCTAAGGTATATTGAATTGTCAGTATGAATTCATTACTTTTATATTTTCGCTAATAAACAATGATACTTGCATTTATGTATAAAAATTTTATTTTAAAATATGTGTTTGAGTTATATTAAATTTCAGTATTACCTTCACCAATTTTAGTGCAATGTAGGTATATTTATCTTGTATAATTTATATTATTACATATTTTTTAAGAAGCATCGCCTGTTTTCATTTAATTTTTATTTTGTGTTATTTTTTTTATTAAGATTTTACTTTAGTAGAATTAATCTAATCATTCGTATCTTTAAGAATTTGCTGTAGAAATGCATCCTAAAATGTATTGTTTTTTAAGAAAGCAATTTTTTACTATACAATTGGTTATAGTACAGAATAAATATAATACAGAATTATATATTGTACCTTGTTGGATGTAATATTTTTAGATATCTTACTGATTTATGAGAATTGTTTACCCAGATAGCTAAATCTGTCAGAATAGATTTTCAAGAATCGAGTCCCTGGACCCTTTTCAGGCTCGTATCCAGAAAAGGCGCATACGAACTGGCATACCTTATTTATTGTAAATGGAAATGGCCTATGAAAAAAATTGTTTTAATAAAAGCAATTAATGTAATTACTTGCTCCAACGTATAAATGTATTTACGCGTTCCTGTGATTGGTCATTGGCCGCGTTCAGCAGACGCAACTGTTGAGTGAGCGCTCACTCAACAGTTGTGTCTGCTGAACGCGACCATTACAAAAGCATGTCGAATGCGCAGTACGGATCGGCGTGAACGTGAAACGAGAGAACGAGTGATCCTACTGGGTTGCGTTCAGAAACATTACCCGAGTGCCCCAGTGTATCATTTTACCCTTGTTTAACATACGGTGAGCAACAAGGATGAAATGGCCGCATTCAGCAAGCACAACTGTTGAGCGAGCGCTCAATGGCCGCGTTCAGCAGGCACAACTGTTGAGTGAGCGCTCAATGATTTCTTAACATGATTGGCTGGATCTGAAAGTATTAACCAATCATACTGAGCGCTCACTCAACAGTTGGGTGCGTTCTTTTAGGCATCGGATCGATCGGATCTGCCGGCTGCGCAGCTGATTTGAGAGAACGGAGTTTTGCGCTCATATTCTCGAACGCGCGGTATTTGTTTTCTACCTGACGACGATTCTCCCACATAAAAATATATATTTTGATTACACATTTTATATACTTGCCCGCCCTTTTTATTATGCAGCTCTCTGCAGCCGGTTGCGCAGCTAATTCCTAATCATCTGCGTATCCACTGCGCATCCATTGCTAAAAGAACGAAAATCTGCGCTGCAGTCGACTGCGCAGTCATGCTAAAAGAATGAATTACTGCAAAAACTGCTGTATCCAATGCCTAAGGGTACTATTACATTTGTCGTACGACAAATTTTTCAAGCGTGTCGATTGGCCGCTGAATAGAATGTAATAGTACCCTAAGGGTACTATTACATTTGTCGTACGACAAATTTTTCAAGCGTGTCGATTGGCTGAAGGATAGTAAAATTCTTGAGTATCTAGAAACTTTCTATTCAG